ATTCTCTTTTTATAAATTTTTATAAATAGTGATAAAGTGTCACAAACGAAAAATAAAAGTCTAAAATATCAACATCAATATCTAATACAATCCAGCAAATACACTCTAACAGCAAGTGTTATTTTCCTATATTGAATTCATAGGGAATAGATTTACCGAAAAAGATGCTGTACCCATCGCGGCAGCTCTATCGAAAAATAGTACGCTTCAGAAATTACATCTGGGAAACAATCCTTTAGGAGCGCAAGGTGCTCTAGCTTTGGTGCGTGCAATCACACCGCATGTATCACCCGACAGCGTTTTACATCTTCTGGACTTGGAAAATGTTTGGGCGAATAAGGATGTTCTTCAAGAATTGGAGGAAATCGAAAAGCATAAACCATGGGTCGTCATCAAGTTGGGCGGTATTCTGAGTAATTACAAACTTGTTGGACCAAATGTTAGAAGAATACTTCTGGAAAGAGCGAATTATGAGGCGATGAAACCGAAACGAAAGAGGCAACGACGCAACTTTGGCCACTTTGTGATGTCGCTGAAGGATAAAAGGATTCCGCGAGGCATGTTCGAGATAGAATCCTTTTTACACTTTTTAGACTTAGTTCTCACAAATTTGTAAAAAATAGAGAATCCTGCTTCTACTTATAAGAATATCTTTAAATAATTATAAAGAAATTTATTTTTGTAGCAAGATTTGTACAACTGGTAAAGAATTTTAAATTGAAGCTTTCGACATCGCTCATCAATGAGATTATGAATATATTTGAAGGACCACAACATACTGTCGATCAAGAGCTGTTAAAATCATTTTATTTGAAAGAGTATCCGGAAACAACAGCACCATTACCAAAATTAAAGAAAAAAAAAGAAAATTTAAAACATAAAAATAGAAACACACAAAAGATATAAAAAACCAAACACACGAAAAAGTAAATACAAGAGAAATATGGAAAATGAAAAGATAAGAAAAATAAATTAAAGAATCTATATTAAAAAAACGAAATATCTTCTTTACTTTCATCTCTGTTGAAAAATTCTTTAAAAGGTAATAACATATATATCAAAAATTAAACAATTACCTTCAGTTATTAATCGATGACAAAAAAATTCCTTTTAACTTCGCAGATAGTATAGCTCTAAATATGTACAAGAAAAATTTTAGAGACTTTGTAATCTTTTAATAATTATATTACATATTAGTTTCACAACATAATATAAATATTATTTCACGAAAACTAGTCCAGCATTATTTTTGCATTTAATGAGGTAAGAAATATTAATTTGTGAATTTAATCTAATCTATGTAAAATATTCTCGCTGCAATGTCATCCACGATCCAATTGATACCATCGACTAGATTTTCACCTGTCACAGCAGAACATTTATAGATTTGCCAATGATGAGTTTTTATATTAGGTAATTCCAAAATTTCTGCTATGTCAGATGCAGACAATGCACCAGGCATATCTTGCTTATTGGCAAATATGAGGAGACTCGCCCCCTCTAATCTCTCCTCTTGCAAGAGCTTGTATAATTCTGTTTTACAATCGTCCAATCTCCTTCTATCCGCACTATCTATTACCCAAACAAGTCCATCTGTAGACTCGAAATAATTTCTCCAATATGAACGCAGTGATTTCTGTCCACCCACATCCCATACATTGAGTTTGTATCCACGATGTTCTAACGTCTTGATATTGAAGCCAAGTGTGGGTGATATAGTATCTATTGGTTCACCACTAAGTCTTTTCAATACCGTTGTTTTGCCCGCATTGTCCAAACCCCTGAAATGATAAATGTCCGCATTAGAATAAAAAAAAATTTAATATATGATATATTAATAAAAGAAATAAGTTGTATCCACAATAATATCAACTTTAACTGCCATTAAATTGTCTAATATCTAAAGTTAAGTTGAACTTAAATTTATTTAACCTGTTAACGCGTAAGCTAACCACAAACTGAATATATAAAGTAGATACACAAATGCGAATACGTACAACATTAAAATTCGCATCTCCTTTTCCTTTTGCTTCAATTTTTTCAACACGGTTAACAGACCCATTATCAATCATTAATTATCCTACAATGTTCAGATCATTGACAGATAAATATTTGTGAATAGAATTTCTTCAAACTTGACAGATATTTCTGAACGTTTCTAACCTCCATCTACATTTCCCAAGTATCTTTCAACTACTACCTTTCTCTTTTCACACACATGTAAAAAAAAATTATTTATATTACAAAACTAATTTTTAAAAACTTATCTTAATGTGATGTTATTCTTTTTTATTAATTTAATCATTTGATTTCTAAATCAATAAATTTTGTAATTGCGCACTTGATAACGTGCACGGTTGGTAAAGACATGTAAGGAATTGTCAAATGTTTTGTGTGTATTAAGGTGCCTTTACATGGCAGCGTCAAGCGTCGAGCGTCTGCGTAGAAAATTGCGCAGAATCTAATTTCAGCCTAAAATCTATCTCTTTTAAATTCTGCGCATTTTTCTGCGCAGACGCTCGACGCTTAATGCTG